TATATTACAAAAATCTAATTTGATGTCTTAATGTTCAATGACTGGGGTGATATAGAACATCTAGTTTGAATGCCCATTTTAAAAGTAATGATAGTGAAGCCCAGAGAAGTTAATTTACTTGCCTAATTTAGATCTTAACTGTGACTTTTGCCAGATCTCAGAGTGAGTCAGAGTCTGGACCAGATCTAAGTTCTTGATTGCCTGCTCCACACCCTTACCACCAGCTCTATTTGAATTCATTACAATTACCTATGTAGCCTCTCTTCATTCTTAGGATGTATTTCCCCTTTTCATCCCTCTAGGATCATTTGCAGAAATTTCATAATGATTCACTCTTTGGGCACAAGATTTCCTTTTTAATGTCTAGTCCGGAGCCCTATTCTTTCTGAATGCGCCCCCTCCAGCTTCGACCGCCGGTGCTTTCTTCTAAGCAGGCCAGAGTGTGCCGAGTTCAGGTCAGCAGTCCACGTGCAGTCCAGAGCGCTGTTCCCCTGTCCTCACAGTTCTCAAGTTGCACTGTGAAAAGGAAAGGTCATTTTCTCTCATATTGCTGGTCATTGTGTTAGTACCATACCAGAAGCCAGCATTAAATGCAGACTAGCATTGCTTCCTGGTGTTTAAGGGAAAACTCATCAAAACAATTTTTGGACACAATTCAATAGCCAGCAGACAGTCTAGCATGCTGCGGCGTGTGCCAGTTTTTCTAACTACATGCAGCAGAGTAGACTCCAGCTGTCTACGCTTACTGAGTACTGAGACTTGGCTGCTTCTCCTTTTCCTCTAATGCAAGTGCTCTCCTTAAATTCACTCTGCTTCCACACTCTGGTTCAGAGATTTTCATAAAGGTTTCAAACATGTGTGCTCTGTACTGTTATTCCTCTTCCCCACCTATATTAATTTATTTTAAACACACTATAATGTGTATTTCATCTTTGTATTCCACTGGTATACCAACTCTTCAGCTGCAAAGACATTTTTGTTGGTGTGATATTTGATATATGCCTGCTTTCATGAATTGGCTTCATCTACTCCATATTTATTGCGTTATGATAACATTTAAAACATTACCCATGCACTTTACTTTGGTATATAAGTATCTAAATCCTTGAGGATTATACTTGCCAAATCACCCTTCCTCTCCCTTTGAACCTGAGCCTTACTGGATAGCTTCCTCCAGTGTGCTGCTTTCTGTCCCAGAGCTGTCCTCCAGAGCACCTGGCTTGACAGCTGTGCCTGCCCTTCTTTACATTTTCTCTCAGAGCTGAGTGTAAAGTGTACCGTCATCCAAGGCAATAGAAGCTCCTCCCAAACTAGACATTTCATGGGAAAGAAGATAGAAATAGTCATCCCTCTACTAGCTTCTATTTCTATCATGTTTTTCAGAGATTTTCCTGATTCTCATTCGTTTTCCTTTTTTTTGTTGTTGTTTTTTTTGCTTCTCATTCGTTTTCTGAAAATCCAACAGGAGTGGAATAAATTCCTAATCTAAATATTAGTAGACTCTGTCATGTCTAGAGCATTCTAGACATTATGTGATAAGATAAATTATTTTAAAATAAAAACATGTGGAATATTCAAAGATGGGCCAAAGAGTATTGCTTCTAGGGTTTCAGTTCCTATACATATGCATGAGTTTATTCCAAACAAACTGTGTTTAAACATGTCTCCTCTCTGGTCAGTGGAGGGCTTCAGACAAGCTCTCAGTCAGGCACTTACTTGGCTTATTCTCATCGGGGTGCCTCACTCACATACACTTGTGTAAAGATCATCTAGCTCAGCAAGATCAAAGCTAATGAAGACGATTTTATGGCACAGATTGTAACGAGAGCAGGTATGGATCACTATGATCAAGGAAAATCCTATTGAAACAGTGACTTTTGAGGGGACCTGCTAGGCCAGTTAAATTTATTTATTTATTTTATTAATCATTTTATTGGGGGCTCATACAGCTCTTTTCAAAATACATCCATCCAGCCATTATGTCAAGCACATTTGTACATTTGTTGCCATCGTCATTTTCAAATCATTTTCTTTCTACTTGAGCCCTTGGTATTAGCTCCTCATTTCCCCCCTCCCTCCTGCACCTTCCCTCCCTCATGAGCCCTTGATCATTTTTTTTTCATACCTTCACTGACTGATGTCTCCCTTCCACCACTTTTCTGTTGTTCATCCCACAGGGAGAGGATTATATGTAGATCGTTGTGATCAGTTTTCCCTTTCTCCCCCCACCTTCTTACCTTCCTGGTATCCCTACTCTCATTATTGGTCCTGAGGGGTTTATCTTTCCTGGATTCCCTGTGTTGGGAGTTCTTTGGCGGGCGGGCTCTTACCTGTACCTGTGTACATATTTTGGTGTAGCCGGATTTGTAAGGTAGAATTGGGATCATGATAGTGGTGGGCAGAAAGCATTAAAGAACTAGAGGAAAGTTGTATATTTCGTCGGTGCTATAAGGCCAGTTAAATTTAAAGCAGAGACGTCAGTCAACTCAGAAGGTTATGGCAACTGATTTGGGGGATTTAGGAGGAGGAGTCTTGTTATATTTTCTCAAAGGACACAGGGTGATGATGGGTTTATTATAAAGGAGTTGTAAGAAAATTGAAAACACATTGGTAAGGAAAAAGCCAGGAAGGTTGGACTGAGGAACCTTTCCCATCACAACAGGGCACCTGCTCCTTCAAGGTAGCAAAGACTGGGCCTTGAGAATCTCAGTGGGTCCTCACCACATCCACCCTGTAGCCCTTTTAAACTTTTGTACAGAAAACTCAAAGAGCATTTAAAAAGAGCTTAATTTAAGGTCCCTGAGAGTGTCCAAAGTGGTGTTTAGTTGTGGTATAAATCAAAGAGTGCAGAATTCTTCAAGGAAGGCCTAGAATAGTGGAAACACTACTTTTGGAAGTGTGTAAGATATATTGAAAGACAATAGCTTTACATTGTGACTATTTTTCATTGTTGGGGTACAGGGTCCCCAACACTTGAATGGGTCCTCAGGAATGACTTTGCATTTGTGGAAACTATTAAAGACAGTGGGGCACGGGGCTCCTTGCCCCATGTCAGGACTCAGTGAATGTATTTTCCAATGGGTATATGTAATAGGGTTACAGATCTTTCATAAGGCATGCACAACTAACATATACATAATCAATGGGCAATTTCATAAGCAGTAACATAATGAACAATGAGTCATAGTCTTGACCTACTGCTAGTTGACCTCAGTACCCCCTGAGCCCTTCCCAAGGAGTTGCTACATTTTGCAGTGGTTTGGCTCTAGAACCTGATTGCTCTTATCTACAGATAACCTCAGGCATAGTGAAGTAGCCAAACATAGAAAAGATTCATTTATTATGTTAGCTCCTTTAGAACTGGTCCTTAAAGGAGGGCTATTACCCACAATCACATTATTCAGCCTGAAGAATGTGTTTTTATAAAACATTTCTATCTCAGAACAATGGAGATCTTTCTCAAAATAGGGCTAGTTTACCACTTTTGATAAAAGTTTTCATGATTTTGTAGCAATGTCTTTTTTATTTAACTTCCTATATACCTGAAGTCTTGGAGAACAGTTAGTTATACCAAAAGATAGATGAGTCAGCCAGGCCAAGTATTTTCTGTAGGATGAATGGTTCAGATAACCAGGCATTGAAGTTGGGGAGGTCTGACAAGGGGCAGGAATTTGGAAGATGGAGATTATGATTCTAGAAATGTACAAGTATTTAGTAACTTGGGAGTCTTGGTTGTAGATGTTGAACTTTTGGCCATGGGGTTAATTAATATTCAGAGGCTAGAATCAAACCTCAAAGAGGGGTAAATGAGAACAAGCAGAAATAGACATACACCTAGTTATTTGAGTTAGGACATGAGGGAGAAGTGGAACTAGTACAAGGACTGATTGCTGAGACATCCAAGCTACTGACCTTGAACAACGCTATCCACAAGATTCATAAGAGGATTGGTAGCTTGGTGGTGAGTGAGCGAGTGAGAGAGAGAGAGAGAGAGAGAGAGAGAGAGCGCGCGCGCCTAAGGGTCAGAGTCAGAGCTGCTTCCTGTGTTCAGAAACTGTGCATACACTACCTGTTTGGGTAAGCATTGTGAGATATGCTGAGGCCAATTCATGCTTGGATATTGTTTGCATTTCTGTAAGTCAGATACTATAAATTTCTATGTGCAACATGAGTTTACAAGGTTTTTTGTTTTTTTCTGTTTTGTTTTTTCATCTATCTCTAGGGTTGCCATTGTTTCCAAATCTTTTGAAGGAAAAACCGATCGCACAGAGGAGTGGTACGGCACCCAGTATAAACAAGAAGCCATACCAGATGAAGTCATTAAGGTAGGGCAAACCCATCTGAATAAGGACATGACCTAGATCCACCTCTGAGATCTGAAGACCCAGCATGTGCACAGTAATGACTCAGGATATCTGTCCCTCCTGAGAGGAGTGAGCAAGAGATGGAAAGCTGGAGCACAGGTTATAGTGCATGAAGAATGGCCCTCTGGCTGTCTTCACTGTCGTTCTGATGGTCTTTATAGCTTTTAAGATTGAGTACTTTACTCATAGGAATAGAGTGGAAAACCTTGTTCTGTCTAGATTCTAGTTAAACTCCAATTATCTCTTAAAAGTATCTGTGTAATGGCAATGCAGATGAAAAGAAGAGATAGTGTAAGAAAGAAAATCACCACTGGTGCCTCAGGGCTTTCTTATACAATGTGTGAGAATATGTGAGAACAGCCATCTTTCTAAGCTGTAAGGAGAGCTGCTCATCCATGGATTATTGCTGGTCTGAAGTATTTTTAAAACGAGAGAAAACAAAATGAGAGGGTATCTCTCTTCCCCAAATTCTAGTCATGGTAAACCTGCCATGAATGAAAATTAAAAAAAAAACGAATATATTTGGGAGTTCATCAGTGAAATTTTTTGCAAAGTGTTTCCCATTTTATACTATTTAGCTACTTGGACAACTAAGCTGCTACTTGTAATTTAGCCAACCCTCTCTCTGTCCCAGTGCCAAGAGACAAATGTAGGGACGAAAATAGAACTGCAGTTTGCAAGGTAGTGCTACATCAGCTGGAGACCCAATTACTGAACTTGGAATTGTTGTTGTTGTTGTTGGTGGTGGTGGTGTGTGTGTGTTAATTATGGAAGTTGGTAGTGTGTTTGTGTTGTTCTTGTTTCCCCCCCCCCAAAAAAAAACAATGAAAAGTCTTATAAATTAAGATTCAACAATCAATGTCCTACGTAGCTGTTGGAGATTTTTTAAAAGCTTATGGAAAAGATCCAGCTCACAGGTTGTGTCCATTCAGCCCACAATTCAGTAGTAAGGTTCAACTTTTGCCCTTAGCATTGCACTTGAATCAATGGTTCCCTTAAAGTTGACGTAATCACCTGGGGAAAGTTGTGGCTCAAGCCCTAAGAAAAGCCCTGAAGCAAATGAAGACTCCTTTAGTCTGATGCTCAGGCCATGCCTGTGAGTAACTTAGTGTACCTGCAAGTTTGCTTCTTACACAGATGACATATTGTTGAACAGATGTAAGAATATACTCTTATACACATAATTCTCTATTCTTGAAAGAGCTAAAACATGTTCTTCATGTGAACTTCAGCCTCTCTGTGTTCTATAGTCTCAAATTGTTCTTTAACCTTAGGTGGTCATTTATATGGGAAGGACAAGTTAATTGATAACTTCGTTAGTGCCAGAAAGACCAACTCAAGCGTCATGAAATCCATCGATAGATTTAGTAATGACCTCATTATCTATGAAGGAACGCTCTCTGACGTTTGTCCTCTTAGTTTTCTCCTTGAAACAGAGCAAGTTGCCTTTTTACGTTCTTTTGCTTTGTGGCAGTTTAATGGCACTTCACATGCCAGACGATTCAGTTATCTCGAGAAGTGTACAGTCATCACCACAGTCAATGTTAGAGCATCTTCTTCTTCCTTGCACTCATTGTTTTTAGCCCCTCAGTGCCCTCCAACTTCCCTGCCATGTCCCTCAAAACTCACTCCTATGGAGTCATCCAATTTAATTGTGGCAAAATATACACAACAAAACATTCTCCAATTCAACAACTTTTGTGTTGTTTAAAATTCTTGACTCAGACTCTAATTTTGTGTACACGTATGTTTTCTTATTTATCCAGAAATGGCAAAATGCTGACCTGAATGGGAACCTTAAACTTCCAACAAAGAATGAATTTATTCCCACAAATTTTGAGATTTTATCATTAGAAAAAGAAGCAACGCCATATCCTGCTCTTATTAAGGTAATGCACTAGAATTACTCATTTTAAACTTGGGGTTACAGACCTAGTATGTGAGGGGACTAGGGAGGCAGTAACTTCTACTTGGTAGAATGTCCATTTGGGGGCTCGTATCCTAAGAGGTGACCGAGAAGGGTTGCAGAAAGAACCACAGGGAATATTAGAAGACTAGAAATGTTAAAGCAAACAAACAAAACTATTTACCAACATAGAATCTAGTGAATTTTTTTTCTTTGAAGGAGAAAAAAATGTGAACTATAACTACAAGTCTATCCAAAGAATTCTTCCATATCTACTGAAGACCCACAAGAAGATAAGAGTTATGCTGTACCTTAAAAGTTAGAGTTCAGAAAGAATTCTGAATTAAGTTTGGAAGAGTACATGTCCAAGGGAAGCTGTTGAATGTCCTGCTCTCTGGCATATTTCTTGATAGTTCCAACATAGATTCAAACGAACACCCAACACCATTTTCAGTCTACTCTTCATGGTTTATTTGCTCACTATTGCTGTGTTATTGTTTTTTTTAAATCATTTTATTTGAAACTCATACAGTTATTATGAAAATCCATAATTCATTTAGAGAAAGCATAATGTTGATGTGTTCTTGCTGTGTAACAAATTCTTCCAAATTTTGCTACCTAAAACTACAAACATTGATTATCTCATGCCAGTTTTGAAGATCAGGAATCTAGGAATGCTATAGTTTGGATAGTTCTGGCTCGACATCTCTCATGAAATTATAGTCAAGAGGCCTCAGTCATCAGAAGGCTCAACTAGCCTTCTCTTCAAAGCTCAATTACATGGTTGTTGGCAGGTCTGTTGTTCACCACATAGAGTTGTTTGACATGACTGCTGGCATCAAAACAAGTCATCCAAACGAGAAAGCAGGTGACCAAGGTAGAGGCTATACATAGTGTCATCTCAGAAATGTCAGACTATCCTTTCTGTCGACTCCTGTTGGTCAGGCAGACCAACCTTGGTCCTGTATGAGAAGTGATGTGAATCTTAAAAGGTATGGATTCTGTGGGTGCCACCTTGAAGACTGACTGCTTTCTTCCAGTCCTTAGAAAGATGGACAGGAGAGTTGATACTAGCTTCTTTGATCTGTCATTTTCCCCGCTGTTCCCACCTCTCCCTTCCCCAGAGGAGATAAGTGATTTTTTTCTCAGCTGTTGGGACCAGCAGCTTTCTTTCCAGCATCTCACCTGGTGATCCTTCAAGTTTGCTTCAAGGCCCTTAGACGGTAGCCTCTCAGCCACTGTCTCTATCCTCCTCCTGATGAGGAGTGATTTGATTGAGTTTTTTTGCTGAATAAGCACACATTTTCCTAACCAGATTGTTTCTCTCTTATAGGACACAGCCATGAGCAAACTCTGGTTCAAACAAGATGATAAATTTTTCTTGCCAAAAGCTTGTCTCAACTTTGAATTTTTCAGGTATGTAATCTAGCTACAAAGCTTCTTATAACAATTAGCCATTATATTTCTAAGAGCTTCTGTGTTTCCTGGAGGATGCACAGCTATACAAAAAAGGCTGCTGCTCTTTATTGTAAAAGCCACAGCTTTAATTCTTCTTTGGCATTAATAAATACACTCTTCAACCAGAAGGATTTACATTAGCTGTGAGGAAGACCTTCCTAACCTTTGAGGTTTTGGACTATGGGGCAGTTATAGAGTCACCAAGAAGGGTCTTTGAGGAAAGATTAACCGATTTTGGAATGGTGTTTGTTGTTGTTTGGGTTTTATAGTCCTAGAACTTTCTCAGAAGAAGAGGTAATAGTAGTTGACTATGTTTCTGAGTTTCTTACAGCCTTTTAATTGACAAGAACATTGCTTTTTGGTTTCTCTCCTAGTTACTTAAAAATGATGTAATAAAAAACAAGATAGCTAGTAAAACTTTCGACTAAAGGTACCACTGCAATGATTTCTCATTGCAAATATCCTGATTGTCTCTTGTCGCCTTTTATTTGTATTAGTGATAAAAGTATGTCACCCAATTTTATTTTACTTTATGGATTTATACTTTATAATTTTACATTTTTAAAATTTAGTGGTTTAGGTGGCATAAACCCATTATCATGTCATAATATTCTATGTAATTTTTCATTGAGAATTTTTATTATTAGAATGGCATGAAATTAAGATTTGTTTGTTTGTTTTAACTGCTTTGAGAAGGGAGAAAATCTGTAAATCGAAAGTTAATACTGAAATCTTATTGAAAGTTAGTGTTGAAATTCTAGGGATATAGCATTGTGTTTTGTAGTCTGAAGCCCATGGGTTATCTGTAGAGTTCTGCACTGGACATGGATGGTTAGATAGTATTTTTGACACTCTAAGAAGCTTGCCACAACTTTCCTATTTGGCCTTTATGGTTGTACAGAATTCTTCCTGATTCTTTTTGAAGGAGCATTTGGCGATTTTTTGTACTGAAAACTGCTTCTCACCAGTCACTTTCTCTGTGGTCTGATCTCAAGGTGATCGCTGTTTTCTGTGTGTCTTTGTGTGTCTCCTTTTTAATTTTTCAGCAATGACAGTATATGTATTTCATGGCAGTTACCTGGTTATAAAACAGTATGATTTTTAGGAAAATAATACACAAGCCAGTATGTAGGTATTGTAGTTCTCTTTTACGAGATGGGGAGCCTCTCCAGTTACCCAGTACCACTGCCGTGGATGTAGTGCTTTGGATACTTCTTGGAGTGTTGCACCTGGGCTACATGGCTTTGAGCTCCAGACTTGGCTTTTTGGCCTTTCACTTCCACCTCAGAGAGGTGCACAGAGTCCCCTGGGACAGAGCTGTTATACTCTCTCTTGGTGATTTTGCTTCTGTTACATGTGCCTTAAGTTTCTAAGTTGCTACTTGCCTAAAGAAAAAAAACAGTGCTCATGTTTCAAAAAGTAAATGGAATACTTTTAAAAATTACATAGCAAAGCATTCATTTAAGTTTTCAAGATGAAAAATGTATAGCTCGAGAACTTTCTCTTTGATTTTTTAAGTGGCTCAGCATTTTAGCCCAATTTCTGCTTTATTATCCACTTTGATACAGTTGTTGACTTTCGTTGTATTTGTTGTGTTACAAATAGAGTAAAACTTCTCATTCACTGCCTAGCAAGCCAAGGAGGCACCTGGCTGCAGGTCCTTTGTGCTGCCTGTTACCTCGGCCAGGAGAGCTCTGACTTCCAGATATCATCAGGGCTTACGCCTTTGCTTTCTTCAGGTCTGCGTACCAGATGCCAGTGTATCAGGAAGGCTTTGATTGACCATCTTAAGAAGACAGACTGTCTTTCATCCTACCACTAACACCCCTTCACTCTCTATTCCCCTTACATGTCTTAATTTTCCCCCAGAGCACTATCACTAGCTGATGTATCATATTTAAGTTTGTTCGATTGTATTATGTCTCTTCCAACTAGAATAAGCTCCGTGAGGTCAGAGACTTTGCCAGTCTAATTCCCTCTTTATTCCCATTGGCTAGAGAAGAGCCTGGCACTGTTAGCAGGTAATGCATATTGAATAAATGAATAGCTCTCTCGTTTGCTTGTGATAAATTAAGCAATATCAAATAGCCAAATGCCTAGCTTGTTTGACTCACGATTGAGTGCCCTCTGCTGCTGCCAGCCCAGGTGACGTAGGAAAATTTGTTTCTAATCTAAGAAAGGAAGATTTTTAATTAATTAATCTCTGTGATTCTAGTTAGCCATAAACCAAACCGATTGCCATCGAGTCAGTTCCAACTCCTCGTGACCCTATAGAATAGGATAAAACAGTTTCATTGGATTCCCAAGGCTGTAATCTTTGTGGAAGCCAACTGCCACATCTTCTGTGTTAGTAGTTAGTAACTTCTTAATAGCTGAGCGCTTAATCACCAAGCCACCAGGACTCCTTAATTTTGCTCTCACGAACTCTAATTATTTCCTCTCCATTCTTACTTTTCTCACTTAGTTTCCATTCTAATTTTTTCCTAACTGATTAGTTATGTGGTAGAAATTATCGATTGTTGTACTGTTAGTGCTTTAACTTTGTTGGTACATGAGCAAACTCAAGGATAAGCTAACATGTTGTAGGTTCTTCCAAGTCCATAGACCATAGCCCACATTCTAATCTAATACTCCTATCCATCAAGGGTATGAGTTACTTGAAGGAGAGAGCGGACATACAAAGATAGTAACATTTTTCTATCATGCCTGCTCCTGTTAGCCATAATTTAGGCCTGCCATTTGGCTCCTTACCTGCCCTTCATTTCGAACATCTCAGTTCTGCCACACTATCTAGAGTAGTTGTTTTTCCATCTTCACTGCCACCAGATTACCTGGTATGTTTCAGGCAACTTTTCCCACTACCTTGGTTTTTACCTCACGAGAAGAAGAAAACGAACTTAATAATTTAACCATTTTCTCAGGAAATTGTATTAACTGGTATTCCATTTCTTGATCCATCTCAAAAGTCCACATTTCATTCAGAAGTTATAAACCAGCTATTTTACTGTCACCGTTTTCTTCCAGCCCCTTTGTGTATGTGGACCCCTTGCACTATAACATGGCCTATTTGTACCTTGAGCTCCTCAAAGACTCACTCAACGAGTATGCATATGCAGCAGAGCTAGCAGGCTTGAGCTATGACCTCCAAAATACCATCTATGGGATATATGTAAGTACCCACATCGTAGAGCCTTCCACTCATCAACATTTTTTATATTGATTTGATGGAAGTGTTTTTAATTAAAAGGGTATGATTTAATTTATTTTTAACCTTTATGACTAATATTTTCTCATCATTTAATATTTAAGTTAGATCTTATTCTAAGTATTCAGCGATTTGCCATCAAATTTTTCTTGATTTTGTTCTCATTTTTTTAAAACATCTTTCATCAGATTGTCATATTTTTATCCTCAAAACTATAAATTGGATCTCACCCATTCTATATCTGAAGCCTTGCTGTTTGGCAAAGGGAATGGAATGATCTGACCTGTGTAAGCGTAAGGTTGGTCTATACGATTTCCCTAGAAGTTCAAATTACGAGGCTGCATATCCATACTCTTCGGTCATGTCATGTTTCTGCATTACCATACCACTGCTTGAGGTATCAAAGCATTTCTTTTGTTTTTCTTTTTGTTAGTCGCTACATTTATGCTGATCCTCTCCATTGCAACATGACATACCTGTTTATCAGGTTATTGAAGGATGATTTAAAAGAGTATACATATGCAGCACGCCTCTCAGGTTTGAGCTATGGCATTGCATCAGGAATGAATGCAATACTTGTAAGTAAAATGCAAACCAGGAAAAGGCACCATTCCACCGAAGCCTTCTATTGAGCTTGGGAAAACTATTAACTTCTGCAGTTTTTAAACAAGAATGTTGATGGTTTTTTTCCTTGCATCTTTTTAATGATTGAGCAACACAAACTAGAATTAGTTTCACTAATGAATTATTTAGTGAAGTTTAGTGTGCCTTGTGAACATGTATGTGTGCTACATTTATTTGCCTGTTCCTCAGCCTGAGATGTTTAACAGTAAATCATGAGAGCATGCTGTTTTTGGGGTTTTTTATTCATTGAATATACTAACATTTGTAAATAAATGACATATATAGTTGTAGTGCTTGAGCTTTACTTATATATTAGCTTGCTTTGTTTCTGCTGACAACAGTGCAAAATTCTATTGAAATGCACCTGGAATTTTCCTTTAATTTATTTGTAGCATGCATCATTTACTGTTTTTAAGTGTGTTTTAAAGTAAACATTAATAAATGCACCCCAAGAAATAACTAGATCCTTCCTCCTGAAGCGTTTGTGATATGTTTCCAAACTTGCTTACATTTTGGTTCCAGATTAACATCCCCGTATGGCACACATTCATTTTCACTTTAAAAAGATAGTATGTTTCAGTAGAAACCAAGATGAGGGCATGTGCTGTGTACTACTTTTCAAAACTCTAACCCCAAAGGTTTTAGGGTTTAAAATTTTTGTTTTGTAGTGACCTTTAAAAAACTTTTATATAAATAAATTCTCTGGTATCCTTTGTTTAATGTGTAAGAATGTATGTAATCTAACCATTCTCAGGGCAGTGGAAAATTTTAAGACTAGAGATTAAAATGAACTTCAGATAGTAAAGCAATATTTTTTTCAACTTTGATTTTCAGTAGCAAATTGCCATTAGCATACACGATTTTTTTATTTGTGATGAAATGGCTTTCTGTTATTAGTCCTATCCCTTCAGTACTTGATGTGCTTTCCTTAGTCAGTGACCTTCACACCTGCTGAGGTTTTGGTAGGTCATTCATCACTGGCTAGAAGCTTTTATAGGTGTTCTTTTTAGTTGCTATGTAGCCTTTACTGCTGAGGGTATGGAAAAGCATAGGGACCCCCTGCTTTTCAAGCATTGTACTTTCAGAGACCACCGGGCACTAGTAATCCATGATTAGGGTTATTGTAAGGTAAAATTCTGATAATACATATAATCTGTTCTTACCAAAACTCTAGGGACGTCAAATTTGGAGCTTCCTGATTTTTCCAAGGGTGATTTTTTTAAAAATATGTGAGCATGAATCATTTTGGATGTGACCAGTAGATCTGAGGAAGTACCGTGCTTCTCTGATTTTTATCATATCACAGATATCATATCATATCACCGATATATAAACTTTCTCCCCTTAGCCACTGCTCATGGCTCTCAGGCTAGGATATTTCCAGGAGGGTTGCCCCACAGCTGGCCAAGGTACTGGGTGGAGGGCATGGAAGGAAGGCAACCAGCTGTAAGCTCCTCAAGAACCTCGTGTTTGCTGGCTTCTACACAGACAATTTGTGTTTGACAGGAAACCTGTTGGAAGACAAAGGCACAGGTTGCTGAAGAAAGCGTACTGTGGTTTTACCTGAAAGCTAATATCATAGCCTTTCACAACCATGTCATGAGCCCTGGTTATAATGTGGACTTTTTTCAACAGTTTATATTGGTTATGATAGAGCTGCTCACAGCCTTGTAAATAGGATGTATCTGGCAGCTGAAATATCTCTCTCTTTTTTTTTTTTTCCATTCGCAGCCCCTTTTTGATGTAGCAATTTTTTTTTTAATTTATTTATTTATTTATTTATTTTTTTAACATTTTATTAGGGGCTCATACAACTGTTATCCCAATCCATACACACATCAATTGTGTAAAGCGCATTTGTACATCGTTTCTCAAAACATTTTCTCTCCATTTAAACCCCCGACATTAGGTCCTCATATCTCTTATTGGAAGTGAAACTGCCAGGTACCTTGGAAAAGTAATTCTTATCAAAAAGAGTGTAATCAAGTGTTGTAAATCCTAAACCAACACAGAGAACTTTTCTTAGTTATACCATTTGTAACACATCAACCAGTAGTTTGAAGAAGAATATGCTGATCAAGAAGTGTCTCCCCTCCCTGGCCCATCACGTTACAGTAATCTAAGATGTGTCTTTCTGCAGATGATTAAATCAATACAATCAGTGGGGGTGGGGTGGGGTGGGGAGTATTTCCCAGCAGAGTTGGCCCTTAAGCTTCCAGGGAAACAATGAAAGCTGTAGTCTGAGCATCAAATGAAAATGGTAACATTAAACATATTTCTACCAGGAATGGGATACATCAACTGAAGGTAATCCAGTTAAACTTTTTTACTAAGCTTTTTAAAGTTAATAGCAGAAAAAATAAATAAATAAAGTAAAGGCAATAGCAGGTATCTGCTCACCAGAGACAAGCTGGTGGGAAAGGAAACCCCCAGTGCTGTTGGACTGGGCGAAAATACCAAGTCAGTACTGAAGAATCAGGATGTCAGATCAACATAATGAGCCCCAGTTAGTTTTGAGAGACCAACAGATTCTAGATGTAAAAAGCGTTGCAAGTCTTTTTCAGAAAACTTTGAAACTTTGAGAGGTCACTTAAGCAGAAAGAGGAAAATTTTGCCATGGTACCACCAGATTTGCAAGTTGAAAATGGAAAAGGAACAATCCTCGTATCTTCACAAGAGAGAGAGACAGACACTAACAATCACAAGAGGCATGTCAGAATTTGGAATTAAGAACAGCGGTCAGCTTCAAGCAGATGGCTTCCTTCTGGACTACCATTTATTGATCAAAATTCCCCATAGTAGAGACCTAGGAAAGAATGTTGAATCCACAGCTGTTAGTGATGCTCTAGAGCAGCGGTTCTCAACCTGTGGGTTGCGACCCCTTCGGGGGTCGAATGACCCTTTCACAGGGTCCACCCGATTCATAACAGTAGCAAAATTGCAGTTAAGAAGTAGCAACAAAAATAATTTTAGGGTTGGGGGATCACTACCACATGAGGAACTGTATTAAAGGGTCATGGCATTAGGAAGGTTGAAAACCATTGCTTTAGAAAAAGTGGGACCCAAAGAAGCTAAAGATAATAAAGGAATGTGTATATCACCCCTCTGCATCCAAAAAGCAAGCGCATGATGATGAGCTCATAGTAGATTCCAATGAAGAAGACTCTTTAGTGAAGAGAGAAGTCACAAGAGAAAATGGAATGAAAAAGAAAATGTTGGTGAGAAGTCATTTACCGAACTAACAAAGGTCCAATTGAACAGACAGAAGCTTCTTGCTGCATGAAGTCATCTGGGCTGAGCCAGATTGATGTCTGTGCCCATTACTTCAAAGGGGGAAGCTTAGGACCTCGACTTTCAAATGGTCCTGTCCCCTCAGAGAGTATTCATTTTGCTAGAACTGTTAAAATCTTTAAATTTTCTGTATTGAGACAAATATTTTTATAAAACTCTTTGAACATAGGATGTGCATAAACAGTCATGAACAACAATGCAGTGCATGTTGCTCTTTTAAATGTAAATACAGTTGGGTATCATTTAATAGATTTTAAATATTGTGGTCTAATAAAGTTAATCCATGGTTATGCATATTATACTTTTATTTGAGTTAAAAAAAGAATTATTTGTAGCCTAGATCTAACCATTTTCATACTCTGACTGAAGCAGATTCAAATAAGTATCTAATGCTGTGTGTTGAAATTGTTTTTTAAATGTTAAGTGGCACTGTGACTATTACTGTAAAACAGTGTTCTTTTGCCCCAATTTTGGACTGTCTGATAAGTCTGTGTAAGAAGCCAATTTTGTGTGAGTATTGTTACAGTTTCAGGTTATTTATGTTTATAAAACAAATACAGCTGTACTGTACCTGGTCCAAGTAAATGTGTACTTGTTTAAAAACAACAGAAACTCCCCACCCTTCATTAGAAATTCCTTTTGAAGATAAAGCACGTTCTGTAGCTAATTTTTAATTTGTTAAGAACTTGCATTGTGATGATGTCGAATGTCCAGCTATAGTTTGGTGTTGAGGTAAGTTTACCTACTAATAATTTTGTATTGGAAAAGTGAAATTGTGTTTTGGGGAATGACGACAGTTATGTTTTCTTTCTAAGTGCTAAACTGTATTTGTGAGAAGTTAAACTAACTTAATTTCTTGTTTTGTTTTTATTTCAATATATCCAGCTTTGGGGTTTTGCAAGTATTTTAAAATCAAGCTAAGTATGTTTTTTTGGAAGTTGTTTTATGATGCTTTTAGACTTTTAATACCTTCAACTCTTTATGTAGCTCTCAGTGAAAGGTTACAATGACAAGCAGCCAATTCTGCTAAAGAAGATTATTGAGAAAATGGCTACCTTTGAGATTGATGAAAAAAGATTTGAAATTATCAAGGAGGCAGTAAGTTTTCTAAACTAATTTTTGAAATTTCTCTTCTTATTCATAAAGTAATATTATCATATTTTTAAGCATAAGAGAAACACCCATAGTTCAATTACAATCATCTCACCCTGTCTTTGCAAAATTCTGTATTTTATCCAGAAAGGGCGCTATAAAGCTCTGTTGGTCAGACACCAGGCCTTCTTCTCGGTGGCGTCCGGAGCTCAGGCAGGCACAGCACTGACTTTGAGAGGGAATCTGGAGGCTGAGCTAGTGGCTGGCAGGAACCCCGGAAGATTTCTTTCAGTCTTCCTTTCCCAGAAGCTGATAGCTTAGCTGAGTCCGTTCTGTTCTGCAGTGAGAAACCCTTGCTTGTCTTCATTGTACACCTTAAAAGATTGACATCCGTTTTGAAATGGAGAACCTGTATTTTTTTTAATCGTTTTATTAGGGGCTCATACAACTCTTATCACAATCCATACATACATCAAATGTGTAAAGCACATTTGTACATTCATTGCCCTCATCATTCTCAAAACATTTGCTCTCCACCTAAGCCCCTTGTGAACCAGTATTTTTATATACACACACACACACACATACACACACACACACACACGTGTACATATGAGAGGGCTTAAAAAAAATGAAAGGAAATAATGAATTAAAAGACAATGGTATTTTCCCACAGATTTCTTTGTGTGTTTTGTTTACAGACTTCCAGAATGACTTTATAGTGTATGGTGACTTTATAGTGTAGAATCCAAAGCTGCTCAGAATGCAAAGCTGAGGCTCACGTTCTCAGACGAAGGAGGTTCCGTAATGAAAGCACTAGAGGCGCTGGGGTAAAGCAGCAGCCTGGACAGAAAGATGCCATCCAGGTTAAGTGTCAGCGCATGTAAGCCTCGATTCTTGCTTACACGCATCGAAAAGAAGTACCGTATATACTCGTGTATAAGCCGGGTTTTTCAGCACATTTTTAATGCCGTTTTCGTGGTAAAATTAGGTGCCTCAGCTGATAATCAGGTCGGTTTATACTCAAGTATATACGATAGCTATTCCCACAGTAACACCTAATTCATACAAAACGAAGCTTGATTATGGATAGTCTTTTGAAGTAATTTTGAAAGAGCGCATGGACTTAATGAACTCCTGTCTCTCTTCACTAGTACATGCGCTCTCTTAACAACTTCCGAGCTGAGCAGCCCCACCAGCATGCCATGTACTACCTGCGCCTGCTGATGACTGAAGTCGCCTGGACCAAAGACGAGCTGAAGGGAGCCCTGGATGGTGAGCTCGCCTCACGCGCCTCTCTGTCTGAAGCACCTTAGTTGACCTGGGTATCCGATGTTTAAGTAATGCTTTATATAAACATGCACTTCTAATGATACCAGGTGTGCATGTTTTTATGTCTGAAAAATAACGAAGTGGCTTTATAAAAATTCAGGTAATTTAGGCATGCTTGTACTCTTTTCAACCTGGTTCCCACAGTTTGTTACTGTTCATAGATTTCTGAAGGTGACAGTGTTCTTTTTTAAAAAAATCATTTTATTGGGGCTCGTACAACTCTTCACAATCCATACATACATCCACTGTGTCGAGCACATTTGTACATTTGTTGCCATCATCATTCTCAAAACATTTGCTTTCTACTTGAGCCCTTGGTATCAGCTCTTCATTTTTCTCCCTCCCCGCTCCCCCCTTCCTCATGAACCCTTGATGATTTATAAATTATTATTAATTTGTCATGGCTTACACTGTCCGACATGTCCATCACCCACTTTTCTGTTGTCCATCCCCCTCCCTCCACCCTCCCGGTATCGCCTCTCAGCACTGGTCCTGAGGGGTTCATATGTCGTGGATTCCCTGCGTTTCCAATTCCTACCTATACCAGTGTACAGCCTCTGATCTAGCCAAATTTGTAAGGTGCAATTGAGATCGTGATAGTGGGGGGAGGGGGAGGGAAGCATGAAAGAACTAGAGGAAAGTTGTATGTTTGATCATTGCTACCCTGCACC